GAGGGCGACGCCGGCCCTGGCAGTCTCCATCAGGCCGCAGCGGGAGGGGGGGACCTCTGGAGGGCATGCGAACCCAGCCCAGGGGCCTCAGGCGCGGGGGCCCCTACTTCCAAAGCCCCCCGCTTCTAGGCTCCTGGACCACGGCCTGGTCTTCCCGCGGTGGGCGGCGTCCCGCAGTGCGGGGACTGCACCCGGGCAGCCTCCGCCCCGTCCTGCCCTCCCCCCAGCCCCGCGGGCTGCAGGTCGGCCAGAGCAGCCCCCGGTGGAGACCAGGGCGGCCAGGCCGGGTTACCTGCTTCATGATGAGGCGGGACAGGATGTTCATGACGAAGCCCCCCAGGCGGGGGTACATGGTGAGGGACTGGATGACGGTCCTCATGAGCAGCATGGGCAGCGGGCTCTGCTCCATCAGCTGCTGCATTACCACAGCCAGCACCTCCGACGTGTACACGTTCCGCTCCGCAAAGCACAGGTTGGTGGCTGCGAGGCGGAGAGGGGGGGCTGTCCTTTCCGCCCATGGACCCCCGGGATGTGGGAGCCTCGCCCCCACTCTAGCAGAAGGCCCTTGGGTGGGCACTGCCCCGGCCCTGGTGGAGGCACCACGGCCAGTTCCTGGGTGCCTCGTGCCAGGGTGCCACCATCTTAGCTTGGGGAGAAGCAGGGCACTACAGTGTGCCAAGAAGGGAAAGTGGAGGCCTCCAGAGGAGGGCTTCTGGGGGTGTGCACGATGGCGGGCAGCAGGCCCAGGGGCCAGATTTAGGGGACACAATGGTAACAGGGATGAAGGGGACAGTGGAGACAGGCCCCGGACCAAGCAAAGAGCTGGTGGCTCCACAAGCACCCATGAAGGCAGGTCCTGGGCTCTGTGCTCCCAGGAGCTGGGGGCAACATCCCCAACTACTGTGCTAACAGGGAGACCACAGGGGCTGCCCCCTGAAGCCCGTCACCCCCAAATACCACTGGCCATGTGAGTCCATCAACCAGGAAGTCTTTATTGAGCCAGGAGAGACCCCTCCCCAATCCACAAGAAGCTAGGGGAGGACAAGGTGGTCCTAGAAAGGACAAAGGGGACCACAAGGGGAGGCGCCGCAAGGAGGCAGATGGGAAGGCTGTTGAAGGGGGAGTAAGGACTCGCCAGGACCCAAAGCAGCACCCAGAGCCCCGAGACCTAGCTGCCTAGCACTGCAGATCCTACATGCTCCCCCATCCCTTCCCCTTCCAGCGCCTCCACCGGCAGCCTCATTTTCTCTTCATGCGGCACCCAAAGGTGTTTCAAAAAGCTCAAGGGCCCCTTCCTTCCGCACTGGGGTGGCTGGAGCAGAATGGGCCATCTCCCTCATAAACCCTACTCTTGGCACAGTGTCCATCTTGGATCCTGCAGCCAGGCTGGGCCAGGCGGTCTTGGTCCTCACAGCCCTGCCCTGCCATCCTAACTGCCCAGGGGACAAGGGCTGTCCCTGTCCCCACTGAATCCCAGCTCTACCCAGGACAGGACAGGGCTGACTGGAGATGTTCAGTAACTTTTTTTTTTTTTTTTGGTGCCAGCTGTGGGGCTTGAACTCAGGGCTTGGGTGCTGTCCCTGAGTCTCTTTTGCTCAAGGCTGGTGCTCTACCACTTGAGCCACAGTGCCACTCCTAGCTTTTTCTGTGTATGTGGTACTGAGATATTGAACCCAAGGTATCATGCATGGTAAGCAAGCACTCTACCACTGAGCCACATTCCCAGCCGCACTTTAGTTTAGGTTTTTTGTTTGTTTTTGCTGTTGTTTGTGAGGTTTGAATTCTGGGCCTGGGCACTGTCCCTCAGTTACTCAGCTCTAGGCAAGTGCTCTGCCACTTGAGACATAGCACCACTTCCGGTTTTCTGGTGGTTAATAGGAAATAAGAGTCACGCGGACTTTGCTGCCTGGGCTAGCTTTGAACCATAATCCTCAAATCTCAGCCTCCTGAGTAGTTAGGATTACAGGCGTGAGCCACCAGTGCCTGGTTTTTATTTATTTTTTAAGGAGCCCAGGTTGGTCTGGGATTACAGGTGTATACTACCACACCCAGCTTCGAGCTTTCTTAACTGCTGGAAGATAGCTGGGGGGATGGAAGGGTGCAGGGCATTGGAGGGGAGAGGACCGTGTGCAGGGTGCCCAGGGCAGGCTAGGACTTGTCATCTGGTACAAAGTTATGAGTGGGCCAGAGCACTTGGAACCAAGCAGAGGGATGGGGGGGGGGCCGGGTTGGAGGGTGCAGCCGGAGACTGCTAGCTGCAGGTGTAGGAGCCCAGCTGTGTGCAGGCCTTGCACAAGGGAAGCAGGGGTCAGGTTTGCTCAACACTCCCCACCCATTTGCCTTTTCTACATTATGCTAGAAGACTGGGCCAGGCCAGCTAGGATTCTAGTTTAGGTCCAGGAATTCCCTTGGGGGATCATAGTGTACAAATTCCCCTCAAATTGTTGACAATTAAAAAAGAAAAAAAAAAAAAAGGCCCAAGCACTCTCCTTCAAAGAGAAAATACAAACAAAAGGGGTGGTGTGGCACATGCAGTAGTGTGCCTGACTAGCAGGTGGGAAGTTTGGGGTTCAAACTCCATATTACTACCAAAAAAGTGTGGGGGGGTGTGGGGGTGTGGAATCTAAGATCATGCTTCTGAACCATGACCTTCAAAACCCTTCCCTGCCCTGTTCTTCCCCTAGAGGTCTTGGGATCCCATATACCTTCTCTAGTCCTCTCCAAGTGGGAGCGTGGGGGGGGGGGGGCAAGGCCGGGACAGGGGACGTGGGGCAGCATCTGGACAGAGGGCACCTTGCTCAGGCGCACCCTACTTCACGCTGCTGTGTGGCCCTGAGTGACTCATTCAGCCCCTCTGGACTATTTCCTGTCTACCACATACTCACCAGGTGCCACGCAGGGTCACCGTGCCTCTGGGCACCACTCACAGCTCCCCTCATGCCAGCAGAGGCCCTGCGTGTCTCACCTGCTCCCTGTGTTCCATGGGGCGAAGGCAAGAGGGCACCCTCATACCCCAGGACCACCCCGTGCCAGGCTAAGAAGAGGTGCATCAGGCCTTACCTGGGGGCGGACAAGGGCAGGGCTGTGAGCCTCGAGGGAAGGAGCAAGCTTGGGGTGCAGAATGCAGCGGGGCCATGTGGGGGACCATGCAGGTGACCAAGGTGCTGCCCCCCCTCCCTGCCAGAGGGGCTGCTGGGTGTGGGTATGGGGGGGGCTCACCTTTGATGATGGATTTCATGTCACACTTCACAGAGTCAATGTTGTGCAGCGCAATCAGGAGCTCTCCGGGGTTCAGCGGGGACAAGGCCGAGTTTCCTTCGCCTGAAGTAGGGATGTGGGGGGGGGCGGTGACAGTACAGAGGTCGAAGTGAAGACATGGCTCTGAGCCTCCCAGTGTCTCGGGACAGGGCAGGGAAAACACCCCATTCCTATCTGGTTAGAGCTGGTTAGCTCTGCCCCTAGCACCTCTGCAGAACAGGATTAAAGAGAGGGCAGCTGATGGACTGCGCACAAGGTGCGAGAAGGGGCAGGGAGGGGGGAGACCAGGGCCAGCAGGTGGTGGACACATGTCCTCAGCTCCCACCCTCCCATGCAGCCAACTGAGGGCCTGGCTCGCGGGACAGGATGGGACGGGACGACCACCTACCGTGCTGGGTGCCCAGCAGGCGGTTGAAGACCTCCTTCACCACGATGGGGTTGAGCTTGATGAGCTTGGGCAGGGCCTGGATCACCTCTTTCTACAGGAAAAAGGGGAGAGGGGACAGGTTAAATGCACCCCTGAGCTATGTCCTGCTGACAGCCGGAGGGGGAGCATGGGGTGGGGGACGGGGTGCTCGTACGTCAGGGAGCAAAGCTGGGTGGCCTGAAGTGGGAGCAGGGTAAGTTAGGTCCCCAAGTTTAGTACTAGAGTGTACTATGTGCCACTGTATTGTGGCTTGAGGGGTTTTGTCGGGGGGTGGGGGCGAGGAGGCAGTAGTGGGGTTAGTCAGGAAGGCGCTGCCACTTGAGGCCTCTCTACTTCTGAGCTTCCTCATGCAGACAAGGTAAGGCCCCATGTTCCCCCCCCGCCCCCCCGTCCCTCTCCCTGGCCCTCCCCACCCCCTCCGGAGCCCTGTACCCCAGAGAGGCACAGCTGGGCAGCCAGCTCCCCACCTTCTCCAGTCCATTGAGCACAGGGATGAGGAAGCGGACATCAGGCAGCCGCTTGTGGTAGAGGTCTCGAACCCGCTTCACCAGCTCTGGGGAGGGTGGCACTGTGGGGGGACAAGCGAGAGGGCAGGGTTGGGGTGCAGGCATCACTGAAGGGATGTACCTGGGTCGGGGGAGGCACCATCTCCCTTTAGACAGAAAGACTGAAGCCCAAAATTGGGCCATGGCAGCCGCGGGGGGAGGGCGGGCTGGGGAGGAGGGCACCGGGCACCTTTATCAGTGAGGCTGTGCAGGCAGCGTGTGACCAGCGTCTCTGCTCCCTTGGGGCAGTTCTCCACCAGCAGCAGCAGCTCCGGCGAATTCATGCCCATCCCTCGGATCTAGACACACGGGGAGGAGCAGGCCAGGGTGAGCTGGGGGAGGGGACATGGTGGCCTCCTGGCTGTGGACCTCTTCCTGTCTTCCCCAGCCAGCCCTGCTCCCGTACCCCACCGTCTGCGCCTCCAATCTGACTGACTGCTCACACTCACCTGGCCCAGCCAAGCCAAAGCTTTAGGAGCAGAATGCAGGGAGCAGAGGCCCAGCACCCCTTGGACTGCTCACCCACAATGTGCAACAAACCCAGGCATCCCTCGTCCAGAGGACTGTGCTAGCACAGGGCGGGCCCACTGGCCCCTTTTGGGTGTGGAGGCTGGAAGAGCTGGAGAGTGTCCACAGGCCACTCTTCTCCACTTGCTCTTTTCATTCTTTAGAGACAGGGTTTTAGTACATATAGCGCAGGAAGTCCTGATTCTCCCTGGAGTGCTGGGATTACAGGTATGTACCACTACGCCCAGCAAAGACTTTTTTGTAGTGCTGAGGTTCCAACTTATAGGTAATTGGTCTACCATGGAGCCACACTCTCACACCTACCTGTTTCTATTAGGAAATCTCTATAATATCAATAATAACTAGCGGGGGCAGAGATGGGACTACTTCAACTGTTTCAAGTCAAGCTGCGAACGGCCAGCCATTCTAAACGGCAGGGGACGGTGGGGTCCTGGACTGCATCTGTGTGTGCGACCGGATGGGGGAGGGGGGACAGGAGGGTCTTGCTTTCTGCCTCAACAGCCAGACTGCATTAGCCACGTGGGAACCAGCTCATCAGTGATGGTAGCCCAAATGGCGATGTCCTGGGTTCCGACTTCTGACTAGTGTTTGGCGTGAACTCGATCACCCCACCCCGACTTTTACCTATGGGGCAGGATCACTGTGGGCATGGAAGAGACCGAACATGAACCCAGGCCTGCCCAACTCCAGCTCTTAGCTGCTGAGCCACCACAGGTTTGGGCAAAGACTACAGTGCCCGCCCTGTACCCAGCGGGCCAGGCAGCCTGGACGGGGCGGGCTGTGTAGTGGGCCTGGGCCCTCACCGGCTGCTCGATGACCCTCAGCACCGTGCGCTTGATGTCAGCGATGGCCTCTGTGTACACGGCCGCCAGCTCGTGGATCAGCTTGTGGTTCTGAGGTAGGAGGGCCAGGTAGAGGTACAGACACTGCTTCACTGTTTCCTCCGTCCAGGGCGCAGCCACCTCTGACAGGACAGGGCTGCCATTCAGACTGATCCCCTTGCCCCCCACGCCCCATCTGCAGGCCTGTCCCCACTCAGGGAGTGACCAGAGTAGTCAGGAGCACTTCCAGCCTCCTCAGTCCACTGAGCCCCACAGCGGCCAGGGGGCTGCCCCGCTCCATGTCTATCCCTTAAGGGATCACCACCCCACCTTCCGGCCCAAGCCCTGGCTGAGTCCCCTTCCATTTAAGGGTCCCATTACACAGGGTCACCCCTGTGTAATCCTGTGGGACCTGGACCCACCCCACTGCCATCCTTGTCCTCTGTCTCCCCCCCCCCCGCCCTGCCCATGTTCTAAGGTCTAGTGCCTTCCTAGCAGGCACCGACCTGTGTCCTTGTCAGCTCCAAACAGCACGGATGGGGGGTTGGGATGAACCAAAAGCTGCAGGTAGTTGAGGGCGAATTTCTCCACGTACTCGCGCAGCTGCTCCTTCTCGTACATGCGCTTGATGAACAGCAGGGCCTGGGAGCGCACCTGGAGGAGAGCAGCAAGATGCAGGGAGAGGGAGAGGGAGAGGGAGAGGGAGAGGCGGGGCTGGGGTGGGCTCTACACCACAGCACTCGCCTGCCTGCGGGGACCGGGACCCACTCGGGACCTGCAGCTCCCACCCATGGAGGCTAACTCACTCCTCCAGGGAGGCTCCTACCAGGCCGCCCTGGCTTTGGACATTGGCACTGCCTAGACTGCCTGTCACTAGCTACACCAGTGTCAGTCAGACTCCAGCTGCCAGGAGCCAACCAGAACCACAGGCTCATGGGAAAGGTGTGTGCTGAGTCTGGAGAGGGCACAGTGGGTCAACAGCCCATCAACCACATCACACAACATGAGGGCTCGGCTCACATGTTCCCTCCTACTGGACACACCCACATCCTAACCCTGACTTGAAGGTCCGGCTTCACCCAGGGCTTTCTACAGCTGTTCCTGCCCTGCTCAGGCCTTTCGACCTTGAATGGAGCTAAAGTGCACCAATGTGGCGTAAGAGTGAAAAGGGCCTTTGCGCATGTGCACGCTTCCGCGCATGTGCACAGGGTGGCAAGCGCCAAGCTTGCCAGGTGCCCTGGTGTCTGGGGAGCTTTGTGCCATTGGAAATGCTTGGTGGGCGGGGGCGTGACGCGGCTCACCTTGTCCTTCTCATGGGAGCTGAGGTCCAGGAGGACATGCAGGTACTGGAACTGGCGGGACGGGCGCTTGCAGATCAGGTCCCGCAGCGTGGACATGCCCAGGTAGGTGCGGCTCTGGAGGAGGAAGGAGCCAGACCAGTGCACTGCAGACCCAGTCTAAAACGTTGGAACCCATGTGCCACCTCGACCACCAGGCCTGGGAGAGCCTCACCTCATCCTCACAGTACTTGCGAATGACCTCCAGGGCGCTCTCGGTGATGAGCGGGGCCTCCAGCACCACCTTGGTGAAGATCCTAGGAGAGGAGCACAGGGTACGGCTGCAGGGGAGGCCACGCGGACCCCCCACCCCCAGGGCGGGGCCATGGCTGACCCAGGCACTTCCTCTCTTGACACTTGTCTCCTAGGGGAGGTTCTCACCTCTCCCGTTAGCTACAGCAGTGCATGGGGGAGACAGGCGGAGGGAAGAGGCAGGATGTCAGATAAGGAGCCACGAAAGAGCACCGGTAGAGAGGTGGCAGCCATGTAAAGCGCAGGTAGACCAGCAACAGACGGCAAGGCCTAGGGCTTGGCATGCTCAGGGGACAGTTACAAGACCTATGTGGCTAAGGTTTTGGAGGAACGCAGAGGCTGGGTCACTAGAGGGCTCACCCCAAGGGCAGTGGAGAAGCATGGAAAATTCCTGGTGGGGAGAGTGTGCAAGATTTACACGATCAAGTGTCAAGGGCTGGCCTACAGAGTGGGAGCAGAGGATCTACAACAGCCAAGAATGGGGCAGGGACTGGTAACCAGGGAATAGGGAAGCGGGCACGGGAAGTGGGACCCATGGACCCGGTGGGCCCAGGCTGCCCCTCACCCGTCCTTCTGGTCTGGTCTCTCCTGCAGGCCAGAGAGCAGGCGCAGTAGGCAGGCCTCGTATTTGTCCAGTGTGCCCGAGGCACCAGCGGCTAAGTAGGCATTGTACTCCTGGTAGAGCCAGGCAAAGGCCAGGTCCAGGCGGGCCCGCACATCCTCAAGGATGAAGGACAGGACCTCAGCCTTGAGGCCTGAGTCAAACTGCGTCACCAGGCTGGCCAGGATCTTGACACGTACCTGACAGAGAACAGGTGGGTCAATCAGCAGGGTGGAGGAAGGATGCAGTCAGGGTACCCTGCAATCATCAGGAAACCCCAGCATGGACATGGTAGAGTGAGAAAGACAGCTAAGCGCCCCCTGTCCAGAAGCTGGTGTGGTGGATGATAACGGTAAGAAACAAAGCCAACAGTCACCAGGGAACAACAGTATTTCCGGGAAGGGCCTGGCTGTACCCCTCATCGCAGACACCTCTCAGGGGGGGACACTGCTGACTAGAGGGCTGGTAAGATTTCTTTTTTATTGTTTTTGGTGCTGATAACTGGGGCTTGAACTCAGGGCTTTGAATTCCTGCTTAGTTTCTTTGTTCAAAGGCTAGTGCTCTACTGAGCCACACATCCATTTCTGCCTTTTTGCTGGCTAACTAAAAAGTCTCTTGCATTTATTGGCCCAGGCTGGGAACCTCTATCCTTAGATCACAGATTCCTGAAGAGGTAGGATGACAGATAGGAGCTGCCAGGGCCTGGACTGGAGGTACTTCTTTGGGTCTGGGCGCTGTCCCTCAGCTCTTCAGCTCAAGGCTAGCGCTCTACCACTTGAGCCATAGTGCCACTTCTGGCCTTTTCTGCTTATGTGGTGCTGAGGAATTAAACCCAGAGCCTCAGGCATGCAAGACAAGCACTCTACCACTAAGCTACCTTCCCAGCCCTGGAGGTACTTTTTAACAGCTAACTTACTTACCACTAATTAGAAACTAATCTCAATGAATGGAGGGAATGTTGCCTGACTGAGGTGACAGCAACAAGTGGCACAATCAGGACTGAAAAGCAGCTTTGTGGGCTGGGATCATGGCTCAACTGGTAGAGCTCCAGTTTAACGAGCACAAAGCTCTGAGTTCAAAACCCCAGTATGGCCAGAATGTAAAAAACAATCTGATTTGTGTCAAGTTCAGCACGAAAAAGTTAAGAACCATGAAGATATCATATGTCAGTGGCACACGCCTGTAATCCTAGCTCTTCAGGAGACTGAGATCTGAGGATCGCAGTTGGAAGCCAGCCAGGGCGGGAAAGTCATTGAGATCCTTTTTTTTTTGGTCAGTCGTGGGTCTTGTCTTGAACTTTGGGTCTGGGCACTGTCCCTGTGCTCTTCAGCTCAAGGCGAGCGCTCTACCACTTGGGCCACAGCACCACTTCCAGTAATCTAGTGGTATATTAGAGATAAGAGTCTCACAGAGGGGAGCTGGGAAGGTGGCTCAGTGGTAGAGCGCTTGCCTTGCATGCATGAGGCCCTGGGTTCAATTCTTAAGCACCACATAAGCAAAAAGAACAAAGCCGGAAGTGGTGCTGTGGCTCAAGTGGTAGAGCGCTAGCCTTGAGCTGAAGAGCTAAGGGACAGCGTCCAGGCCCAGAGTTCAAGCCCCACGACTGGACCCAAAAAAAAAAAAAAAAAGTCTCACAGACTTTCCTGCCGGACTGTTGGAACTGGATCCTCAGATCTCAGCCTCCTGAGTAGCTAGGATTACAGGAATGAACCACAGGCGCCCAACAGTCTTTGAGATTCTTATCTGCAATTAAGTACCACACCCCCAAAAAAGCTGCAAGTGGTGCTGTGGCTCAAGTGGTACAGCACTAGCCTTGAGCAAAAAAAAAAAAAGCTCAGACAGTACCCAGGCCCTAAGTTCAAGTCCCGTGACTGGCACAAATACAAAAAAAGCAAAAAAGGCCAGGTGCCAGTGGCTCACATCTGTATTCCTAGCTACTCCGGAGGGTGAGATCTGAGGACCACAGTTCAAAGCCAGCCCAGGTAGCAAAGTCTGTGGGACTCTTATTCCAATTATCCACTAGAAAACCAGAAGTGGCACTGTGGTTCAAATGGTAGAGTGCTCACCTTGAGCTAAAGAACACAGGGACAGCAGTCAAACCCAGTGGTCAAGCCCCACAACTTACCTCCACAACAAAAAAGAATCAAAAATCTAGGATGGAGACCCCCCTGCCCCCAGCTCAAAGCTTCCAGGCCCAGGCCTGGGGTGATGACCATGTGTGTGGCTGGGCCTTTCCAACTTGCCCTCAGACATAGCTGCTACCTCTGCCTCCACTGGAGGGGTAGTGGTGAGTGGCAGGCTGGGGCTGCAGTCAGGGAGGTGACTTGGGGGTTCTTGGCCCCTGTGAGAGGGGCTGTGGGGACAGGCTGGGCAAGAGCACCTGGGCCGCTCCACTACAGGCCACTGCCTTCTCGGCCCGCAGAATCCGCTTCACAGCACCCAGCTTCATGGCCTCCACCTGGGCATCTGTCAGGGGCTTCAGCACATCGCTCAGACGAAATATCTTCTTGCGCCCACCAGCACCTGCCAGCCTGTGTGGGAGATGGGGCGGTGACTTTGTGTCCCTTCCGCAGCCCAGCCTGGGGGCGGGCCACGGAGATACTGTGTCCCTTCCACGGCCTCCAAATTCCATGCCTCAACCCAGCGCAGTCAGGGGATGGACGACAATGAAGAGGCCATTGTGTTTCTGTCACTAAGACAGTGGCTGGGGCACTGACGTTAGAGAGCCTGAATTGCAGGATGAGGCACACCTAGAGGGAGACTCACCGGGGCTGTGTGACAGGGATGATGGGCTCCGGCCGCCTCTTGGCCTGGGGTGCCTCCTCCTCCAGTGTGGACATGGAGCTCAGAGAGCCCACCACCGAGATGGCCTGGCCCTGAGCCGACAGGCGCCTCTTGATCAGGACACTCTCTGGCTTCACCACCTTCTCCTCCTTGGGCTCCTCCTTGCATTGCTTCGTCTGCTCCACACCTGAGAGGCAGCCGTGGGCACCCAGGGAGTCAGCCCTCACCCCCCACTCCTGGCCCTGGTGCAGGCCAGCTTCGTGCTGGACCTCAGATGTGCAGAATGAGCCCAACCCTGCCCCCACCTAGCCAGAAGGGTTAAACTAGGCACCTTATGCCACTTGCATGTCCTGGCAGCCAGGACAGACACATGACAAGGCCCGAGCCTTCACCTGGCCCTAACAAGGACATGAACGCCTCTGTTCACAGCGGCTCTGCTCATGATGGCAGAGAGTGGTGTACTGGTGGAAGGGGACACTGGGACACTGGTGACAATGAAAAGCTGCTAGTGGATATCACACACAAAAACATGGTGTGTAAAAGCAGCCTGACACAGATCCGTGCACAGCAAGTTCGAGGAGAGGCATGCTGGCTGCAGGGGCGGCCACACCTGCACTCAGAAGGCCAAGGCAGGATTGAGAGCTCAGGACCAATCTGAGCTCTGTGGTGAGATCTTACATGAACAAAAGAAGCTACACTAATTTATGTTGGCAGAAATCTGTATGGGAGTTGTGTCTGGATATGAGGTTCCCTGAGTGGTCACAGGAACGAATCGAGGGAACTTTCCAGAGTGGTGGGAACAGCTTCTGTGTTGCTCTGGGTGGCAGTTCCACCCCGTGTTCACTTTGTATGTGCTCACTAAAATATGCATTAGAGCCGTGCACTTTGCTGCTCATACCCATCAAAAACACTGCTGAGAGCAGGGAGAATGGTGAGGGCTGGAAGGTTAAGTGACCTGAGAGGAACAGTTACTTAGGTGGGTGACATTTCTGGTTCAGCTTGGACCAGGTCAGTGGGGAAGCCTGGGGCCTAAAAACATTGAGCACTCTGCAGGACCTGTGTTGACTGACAGGTCCAGAAAGCATGTGACTTCACGTCCACGAACTTGTGCAGGCACTCTCTTCCAGTAAGGAGCCCCGCGTGACACCCACCTGGACCCAGCCCTGCAGCTGTCATCTGTGTGGCCATGAGGCGAGCCAAGTGCTTGATCTGGGCCTCGGTGCCGGCGGACTCCACAGGGGTGTAGATGGCTTGGAAGGAGGCAGGCATGGTCTCGGGCAGGTACACCATGCTGATGAGGACCTGACAGGCATGGAGGAGAGCAGCACCTTCACCGTAGCTCTCCAGGCACTGGTCCAGGCCCAGGCCAGCTCGGGAGTGATAGTGACTGGGGTTTTTGTGGTACTCAGCCTCCTGGGAATCAGAGCCCCAATTCCAAACCTGTCTGCAGAGTCCCATTTAAGGCAAAGAGAGGGCGTGAATGTGGGTTCAGATGGGGACTGGACCACACAAAGAACCCATTGGCTGGTGCTGACAAGTGACCTCCAGGACTTAAGAATAAGAAGAGGTCCAGCAATGGAGAGGAGAGTACCCCAGAATGAGGTCATCGGTTGGAGGGAGCCAGGATAAGGTGGAGAGAGGGCAAAGGATGAGACCCTTCCTCCTCCCAGGAGGGACAGCCCACCATCCTCACCAGATTAGCCACATTATCGGGCGTCAGCAGGGGCTGCAGAAATTCTGCTGTAATGTCTGTGTCTGATTGGCCTGAGATCTGGGCTGAGGCCTTTGAGGTCCCTGACGGGCCAGGCTCCAAGTCCTTGTCCTCATCATCTTCCCCTAGGTTGGGCTCTGGGTTGGGGTGAAGAAGATGGTAGTTAGAGAGGGCAAAAGGCCCCATTCCCAGGCAGGATTGGTTAGGCAGTCCCTGCTTTCAGCTGTCTTAGCCAACAGGGACTTGCCAATGGTTCCAGATTTTGGCTACAGCCTTCTCCTGGCTCTGGGGGCAGAGAGGCCACACCTCATGAGCTGATCCCATGAAGCCCCAGAAGGAATTGCTAATACTATAATTCTTTTTCTGGTTGGTCATGGAGTTTGAACCCTGGGCCTGACCACTGTCCCTGCACTCTTCAGCTCAAGGCAAGCGCTCTACCGCTTGAGCCACAGCACCACTTCTGGTTTTCTAGTGGTTTGTTGGAGATAAAGAGTCTCACAGACTGCCAGGCACTGGTGGCTCACGCCTGTAATCCTAGCTACTCAGGAGGCTGAGATTTGAGGATCGCGGTTCAAAGCCAGCCCAGGCAGGAGAGACTGTGAGACTCCTATCTCCAATAAACCACCAGAAAACCAGAAGTGGCGCTGTAGCTTAAGTGGTAGAGCGCTCGCCTGGAGCTGAAGAGCTGAGGGACAGTGCCCAGGCCCAGAGTTCAAGCCCCACGACCAACAAAAAAATAAAAATAAAAAAGAGTCTCACAGACTTTCCTACCCAGAATGGCTTTGAACTGTAATCCTCAGAGCTCAGCCTCCTGAGTAGCTAGGATTGAAGGCATGAGCCACTAGTTCCTAGCAACAGTATCATTCTTAAGGCTATTCCTGTACTGGGATTTTATTTATTTTTTTCTCCAGTCCTGGGGCTTGAACTTGTGGCTTGGGCACTGTCCCTGAGATTCTTTGGCTCAAGACTAGCATTCTACCACTTGAGCCACAGTGCCACTTCAAGCGTTTTCTGTGTATGTGGTACTAAGGAATCCAACCCAGGGCTTCACACATGCTAGGCAAGCACTCTACCACTAAGCCACCTTCCCCACCTTGTACTGGGATTTTTATTTCTTACTATTCTACTCCCACCTTTTTCTTGTGCTGGTAGTGGGGCTTGAACTCAGGGCCTCCAGCTCTCACTCAGCTAGTACTCTCATGGCTGACACTCTACCACTTGAGCCACATCTCCACTTCCTATCCTCCCCTTCAGGAAGTGTGGCTAAGCCAGCCATCAGCCACTCCTCGTGGTGCACCTCTGTAATTCCAGCATTTAAGAAACAGAGGCAGGGGCTGGGAAGGTGGCTCAGTGGTAGAGCACTTGCTTTGCATGCATGAGGCCCTGGGTTCGATTCCTCAGCACCACATAAGAAAAAAGAAAAAAGCCCGAAGTGGTGCTGTGGCTCAAGTGGTAGAGCGCTAGCCTTGAGTTGAAGAGCTGAGGGACAGCGCCCAGGCCCAGAGTTCAGACCCCATGACCAGACCCCCCCCCCAAAAAAAAGAAAAAGAAACAGAGGCAGAGCCTGGGAAGGTGGCTCAGTGGCAGAATGCCTGCCTCGCATGCATGAGGCCCTGGGTTTGATTTCTTAGCACCACATAAACAGAAAAAGCCAGAAGTAGCACTGTGGCTCAAGTGGTAGAGTGCTCGCCTTGAGCTGAAGAGCTCAGGAACAGCGCTACAACCGACGGGGGGGGGGGGGGGGGGGGGGGGGGGGGGGGGGATGACGACAGAGGCAAGAGGATCTCAAGTTTGAAAACAGTTTGCACTATACAATGAGTTGTTTTATTTTTTCCTGTCCTGTACTGGGGATTTGAACTCAGTACCACTAAGTCATATTCCTAGCCCTACAATTGAGTTCTAAGCCATCTGTCTCAAAAAAAAAGGGGGGGGGCTGGGAAGGTGGCTCAGTGGTAGTGCGCTTGCCTTGCACACATGAGACCCTGGGTTTGATTCCTCAGCACCACATAAGCAGAAAAAAAAAGCCAGAAGTGGCGCTGTGGCTCAAGTGGTAGAGTGCTAGCCTTGAGCTGAAGAGCTGAGGGACAGCACCTAGGCCCATAGTTCAGCCCCCACGACCGGACCCCCCCCCCAAAAAAGCGGGGGGTGGGAGGGTCCACAGGGAGGACTGGGAATGTGACTTAGAGGTACAGTGCTTGTCTTGCATGCATGAAATCCTGGGTTTGATTCCTCATTACCACATAAGCAGAAAATGCCAGAAGTGGCAATGGGGCTCATATGGTAGAGAACTAGCCTTAAGCAAAAGAAGCTAAGCGACAGTGCCCAGGCTCTGAGTTCAAGCCCCAGAACTAGTAAAAAACAAAAAAACAAAAAAACAGACATCAGACATATTACAAGGAGATAGAAGCCAACTGGCTAAATATTGAGCAATGTGAACAACATAATAGCAATGGTAACAGATTAGTATATTGAAAATAAGAACCCAGGGTTCCTTAGTGATAAAAGAAGGCAAAATGACAAATAATAAATACAAAAAAAGGAAAACCTTTTTGTATCCAATATAGTTACAATAGAATCAGGCAATTATCTATGTAACTATCTAGTCCTGAAGTGTACTTTTATTTTTTTTGGGGGGGGGTCCAGTTTTGGGGTCGGTTGTGGGGCCTGAACTCTGGGCCTGGGCGCTGTCCCTCAGCTCTGAAGAGCTCCAGGCTAGCGCTCTACCACTTGAGCTACAGCACCACTTCCGGCTTTTTTCTTTTTGCTTATGTGATGCTGAGGAATCAACCCAGGGCCTTAAGCATGCAAGGCAAGCGCTCTACCACTGAGCCACCTTCCCAGCCCCAGTGTACTTTTTTCCTTGTTGTCAGTTGTGGGGCTTCAACGCTGGGCCCGGGCGCTGTCTCTGAGCTCTTCAGCTCAAGGTGAGCGCTCTACCACTTTGACCCACAGCGCCGGTTTTCTGGTGATTAATTGGAGATAAATAGTCTCATGGACTTTCCTGCTCAGGCTGGCTTTGAACTATGACCTTAAGATCTCAGCCTCCTGAGTAGCTAGGAGTAGAGGGGTGAGCCAACAGCACCCAGCTCCACAGTGTACTCTTAAGTAAACACACCAGCCTCAGCTCACCCAGCTTCATCTTCTTGAGTGTGGAATCAGCATCATCCCGGGGCCGCTTGCGGGCGTCCTTGCCACTCGGCATGTTGCGGGCGATCTCCGCCTGGGGTGTGCCCAGGTCTACCAGCAGAGTGGTGATCTGGGCCTGGAATTCCAAGGAGGCCGGGTGCTTGAGCACACTCAGTAAGTGCAGCTTCAGGTTCTTGCGCACGCTGCTCACCTGAGATTTGGCCAGCGTTGGGGGCAGGTTGGCTGTGAGGAAAGAGGCAGGAGCTCTGTGTTGTGGACAGATCTCTGAGGGTCCCTTGTGCCCAACTTGGGCAGTAATCTTGCAGCTCTATCCTAGGGAAGCTGCTGGGCCCTCAGGAGAGTGGGACTTTTCTAAGGCTAAGGTTTCAAACTCGAGAGGCCTCCATAGCATTAGTCCCTGAAATGGAGATAAACTCAACCCCCATTTTACTAAATGCAAATTTACAGGCCCCTCCCATCTCCAGTCTGAATTCCAAATGTTTCCCCTGGAGAGAGCAGCCTATACCCACCACCTTCTCCACCAACTTCCCACTCGGTCACCGCCACAACTCATGCTGGTCTGTTACCCCAAAGATTTCCCTGGGCCTGGCAGTCACCTTGGTGAACCAGTCGCCCTTGCTCCAGAGCCAAAGAGGATCCCTGTAATTTTGCCTGCCCAGGGTTCACTGCCTGTTCCTGGGTCAACACCACTCCCATTCCCCTTTGAGGAAACCACCCTGTCCCCATCCTCTGTCCAAGGATGCGTGAGACCAGGGGCCAGTGAGAACACGGCGTTCCACTGGTCACTGTTGATTGGCTCAGAGCCAGGCTCATGCTCACTGCTCGGCCAATCAGAGACAATGAGCATCAGCTCTCAGACTTTGGCTGGAATCATAGGGAAAGGGACACTCTTTCTCCTAGGGTTGCTAAGTCGATGGAATAGAGGGTTGCAGCTTTGTGGGAGCCATCTTTGATGCCCCAAGGAAAGAGCCAGAGAGTGAATCCAGCATGGTGGACGTTAAGTCAAGAGTTGGAGAGCACCTGATCCCAGACATACTTCCTAGCGGACATCATATGCAAAAGAGGACAAAGTATTATTAGCAGCCTGCTCTGGAATGAAGGCAGGGAAGAGGCTAGAACATGTGAAAGGGTTTCACAGGAACTACATATGATTCAACAGTCAAGCCAGCTTCCAAGCAGGTTTGGGCCACACCAAATCCTCCCATGTGATAGAGAACCCTTTCCTGTGCCGTGGCAGCTCAACTGACTGGTCAGCACCCAGGGCGCACCACCGGGCACACACTTCCTCATGACAGGGGCAAAGTGGCAAAGGGTCAACCCACCGTGCAGAGTCTCATAGGCCTGGATCACTTCAGACATGAACATGGGTCTCTGGCGGGCGATATTGGCGAGGGAGCCCAGAGCCGTAGTCAGGTTGATGGAGGAGATGGCTGGGTGCACCATGAACTTGAGGAGCTGCTCCAGGGCTGCTTTGCCCTCTTCCCATAGCACATCTAATGCAGGTGGGAAAGAGAATCTTGAGCCCTCAGGGGCCCTTTCCCTCAGACCTTTGGCGAAACAACCTTAGGGACTGAAAAAAGGTGAGGTCCTAGTAATCAGACTGGCTGGAAAAACCCAGAGAACATTTGCTGACAGTCTAGAAGCACTGTTTTCCCTCTGGGAAAAGACCGGGGGACAGAGGAGTTCGATTTCTTGTGCCACTCTAGACTTCTCAACACAAAATATGTACATAATAATTTGACAATTTGCAATGAAAAAAGCCCTCCACCGGGCCCTTCTGCCAGCCCAGGCCAAGGAGACTGCTCTTGTCAACCTTTGTACCAAAGGAAAGCCAAGTTCAGAGGAAACTGTGAAGGTCATAAAGTAGTGAAGCTGGGACTTGGCCCCTAACATCAGATCTTAGCAACCGTCATTAAAACTTACTAACCAGGGATGGTAGGGGGCAGGGTGGGGAGAGGAGGAAGGGAGAGGTGCAGGGCCCTTATCACAGGACCATGGCCGGCACTCACTGTACTGGATGTAGGGGTGGTCTCGAGGGATGCGTTCCAGGCTGATGTCTTGCTCCTGGCGTCGGGGTACCTCTGAGTCGGCCACGCGCGGCGACAGGGTGACGATAAGGCCCTCCACAAACTTGATGGCATGGGTGCGGATGCCATCGTTGTCAGAGTCTAAGAGCAGAATGATGTCCCCAGCCATGGCCGACACCATGTCCCAGCAGGCCTCCTGGAGATCGTTGATCACCCGGGACTTCACCATCCACTGCCAGAGGGGTGGGAGGAAGACAATGCATCACTGACGGGGCCTTTACTGCCATCTGGAGACCCGAGGACAGCTATGTGGTTAACAGATGCTGAGTTCCAACTGCCCCCAGCTCAGTGCTGGGTGGTGGACAATGGGCTCCAGACCGTGACAACACAGCACCCAAATGTCAGATCTCAGGGCAAAGGCACGAAACCAATCACTCAGGTGGTGATATGGCTTCCTTATTTCCCCAACACTGACCAGCACCCCAAGAGAGCGAGGGCTCCTCACATCTCAGGCCATGGCCCACACTCACCTGACTCATGACCTAGCACTACCTGCCACAGCTGGGCACAGAAAAGGCACTGGGGGGGGGGGGGAGAGACGTTCGCTGAATGTGCTAAACAGCAGGCAACACTTTATGCCTTGTCTGTGCCCATCCTGCCCACAAGAACAGGCTGTGACCCTGGCTTAGATGCCAGGTGTGTCTACAGGGAGGATGGGCAGCCGGGAGGCCCTCACCTTCAGGGCCACCTTGTAGAGCTGCGTCATGGTGAGGATGGCCTTCTTCACCACGTTCACGTTCTCATCTCGCAGGAGCATGTTGAGGTTGGCGATCAGTTTTAGCAGCAACTCGATGTCTCGCTTGCTGGAGTGGGGAAAGGGCAAAGGCAAGGTGGTGTGGAAAGGTCACTGCTGGGACGCTGGGGTCCAGGCAGAAAGGGGTAGAGCAATCAGGGCCCATGACCCAGAGGAGCTAAAAAAAAAATGCCGATGCCAGTGGCTCATGCCTATAATCCTAGCTACTCAGGAGGCTGAGATCTGAGGATCAAGGTTCAAAGCCAGCCCAGGCTGGCTCTTATCTCCAATAAACTACCAGAAATCTGGAAATGGTTCTATGGCTCAAGTGGTAGAGCGCTCACCTTGAGCTGAGGGACAGCGCCCAGACCCAGAGTTCAAGCCCCACAACCGACCAAAAAAAAAAAAAAGAGCTGATCCAGACAACAAGAGGTAGATAAGGCCAATACAGCCCTGACAGCAGGACAGAAGGGTGCCTACACCAGCACAGTGGCAGAGGAAGTGACTGAAAACAGCCCCTTCCGTATGCATTCTAGAAGTAGGGTGGGCCGTGCCTACTGAGGAGCACATTGGAAGTATAGGGGACCTGAGGAAACCTCAGCTGTCCAGGGTCTCCATCATGTTAGGTTCTCACTGGGGAGTCAGGGTACATGGGAGAGTCTCAGAGGATACTATGTCGGGGGTGCCAGTGCTCCTGGCACTGCCCCTTACCATGCCTCCTCGATGAAGCCAATGACAAATTTTCGCACTTCGATCGACTTGTCTGCTTGGAATGCGATGATCTCCTGCAGAGGGGTTCGAGAGGGGTTACACACCAGGACCTACCTTTACCCAACACCCCTCTCTCACCCCGCCATCACTCACATCCAGGAAGTTGTCCAGCAGCGTGGGGTCTTTGTTAATGATCAGCTCCTGGACCTGGAAGGAGTGGGGATGGGAAGAGGAGGACATGCACAAAATCAGGACCTGATCAAAGCAGAGGACAAGCAGGGGAAATAGCTTGGGGCTCCACAGAATCTCTAGACACTACTTCACTCTACCCAGGACTACAGCTTTTTCTGAGCAACTGACTTGCCCTCCCTGAGGTTCAGCTGGCTACTCTAACCTTAAACATCAAGCCAAAGGCCTGGGGGGGGGGGGGGGGAGGGATGGCGGAAGAGGCTACAGAGGGAACCACCAACGTGAAAGTCCTGGTGGGACACAGGCTGAGGAGGGGTAGCCTCAGAGCTACTTCTTGGGTGTGGCAGCCCTGCCCATCAGATCTCCCCACTTCACACTGCATCTTTCACAAGACAGCTTACAGAAGGGCACTGGTGGCTCCCACCTGGAATCCCAGCTGCTCAGGAGGCTGAGATATGAAGATGGAGGTTCAAATCAAGCCCAGGCAGGAAAGTTCATGAGACACTTATCTACAATCAGCTAACAAAAAGTCTGGAAGTGAAGCTGTAGCTCAAGTGGTAGAGCGCTAGCCTTGAGCAAAAAAGCTCAGAGAGAGTGCCTAGGCCCAGTTCATGTCCCCCAAAAGAAAGTACCTAGGCAGGCACTGGTGGTTCACGCCTGTAATCCTAGCTACTTAGGAGGCTGAGATCTAAGGATCGGGGTTCAAAGCCAACCCCAGCAGGAAACTCTGTGAGACTCTTAGTTCCAATTAACCACCAAACAAACCAGAAGTGGAGCTGTGGCTCAAATGGTAGAGCGCCTTGAGGTGAAGAGCTGAGGGACAGCACCCAGGCCCAGAGTTCAAGCCCCACAATCAACAAAAAAAAAGGTACTGGGGCTGGGAAGGTGGCTCAGTGGTAGAGCGCTTGCCTTGCATGCATGAGGCCCTGGGTTTGATTCCTCAGCACCACATAAGCAGAAAGAAAAAAGCCGGAAGTGGCACTGTGGCTCAAGTGGTAGAGTACTAGCCTTGAGCTGAGGGACAGCGCCCAGGCCCAGAGTTCAGGCCCATGACCGAACCCCCCCCCCAAAAAAAATACCATACCCCAAGACCTGTCAGGATCTGTGATTTCTCTAGACTGGGGTGGAGGGGGAAGGGATGGTAGGAGAAAAACAAAGGAGGAGGCAACAATCCTTGATAAGAAATGCTCTCATTACCTTGTTCATGTGATTGTAGCCCCTCTGTACAGTATTTTCACAATTAAAAACATCAAAAGAAGCTGGGCACCGATGGCTCACGCCTGTAATCCTAGCTACTCAGGAGGCTGAGATCTGAGGATGGCGGTTCAAAGCCAGCCAGGGCAGGAAAGTCTGTGAGACACTTACTTCCAATAAAAACCACTAGAAAACCCAAAGTGGCGCTGTGGCTCAAGCGGTAGAGTGCTTGCCTTGAGCTGAAGAGCACAAGCACAGCACCTAAGCCCAGAGTTCAAGCCCCACAAGCAACAAAAAAAAGAAAAAGAAAAATCAAAGAAAGAAAAACAAAAAAGATTTCCCTAGACAGTTTCCCCATAGCCCTCTTGGAAGGAGCGAAGGACTATATGAGTATGCCCACAAGGCACTGAATTCTGCCTCAGGCACAGATGCCAAGTATCGGCAACAGTGTTGCTAGCAGCATTCCCCATCCCTCCCTTTTCTGCCTAGCTGGGTGTCCTTGCCCTCACCTGTTTGAGCACTGTGATCTTTGAGTCATTGGTGATCAGCGCTGCTTGGTTCAGGAGATCCACCACCTGGAAGGATGGGAGGGAGGGCCAGGTGATGGAGCCAGCCTCAGCAGCCCCAGTGGACGCCTAAAGTTATTCTAGATCACTGACAGCTTGGGGTGTCGTCCACAGGCAGGCAGGAGCTGCACCTCTTGAATTCCAGCTATCTACCACACTTACCCTCTCTGAGGTGGTCATGCCATCAATGCCTGGCCCTTCCTCCTGGGTGAAAAACTGGGATGCCACACTCCGGCGAGTGACACTGTCCCCACTGGTGCTCGCCATGGCTGCTGTCAGACACTCCCTGGAAAAGAAGCCAAGTCAATCTTCACTTGTGGACTTTCCTTCCTGTCCTTTTGACAATGCCATGTACCCATGTCTGGCTTAGGTTTGGGTACCCAGGGTATGTGGTGGTGACAGTGAAGTCCCAGGTCAGAGACAGAACTCTACCTTATCACTAGTACTTTAAACATAGGAGGCTGACCACTAACACCACTGAGCAATGACCAAACCTAGCAGGCTCCATGCCTCCTGTCTCTCTAGATGAGGAAGAACACACAGCAAACGTGTGTGTGTGTGTGTGTGTGTGTCCTAGGGATTGAACTCTAAGCCTGTGTGTGCTTTCTTTTTTTAAACTTAAGGCTAGTACTCTATCACTTTGAGGTACAGCTCCACTTCTGGTTTTCCTGGTGGCTAATTAGAGATAAAGAGTCATAAGTAGTTTCCTGCCAGATCTGGCTTTAAACCCAGATCCTCAGATCCCAGCCTCCTGAGTAGCTAGGGTTAGAGGCAGGAGCCTGGAGCTTGAAGTGTGTGTCCCCAGCTGGGGCTTGAACTCAGATTTGTGCTATCCTTTGGTGTTTTCCTCTACCATTTGAGTTGCACTTCCACATGCAGCTTTTCCTGAAAATTTTCAATCTGAGATTGGTTAAACCGACAAAGGAACAGAGGGTCAACTGCCTCCTATACAATCAACACTCGTTCACACTTGTCATTTACAGTACATTGAAGTTCAACATACCAATAGATACTTTCCTCATGATCTCTTCTTCCATTAAAAAAAAGGTGCAAAGCATTTGATTCCCTGCATATATTGTAATTTTTTTCAGCTATTCCTCCTAATGAAGAACACTTGGAATATGTGAAATCGGTATTAGGAAGGACGTCAGGGACAAACGCTCACTGTCAGTCTCCCAAAGAATGGCTCTAGGAGGATTTTTCATTCATTCAACTGGTAACGACTGGGGGAGAAGGGAGGTTGTCCAGTGTGTGTGCACTGGGGTGGTGAGCTAGGGACACAACACCCACTGACACACCCGGTCCCTGCCCGCCTTGAGTTCCTGAAAACGGACACAAGCCTCACAGCACCCAAAATAAAGGTCTCATAACAAATTAAGACCACGTGTGCTAAGAAGGAAAGGCGCAGGGACCTATGAGAACGCGGAGCCGGGGGGGGGGGGGGGGTCTGGCGACGGAGGGCGGGAAAGGAGGGCTGAGCAGAGGAAGTGACGTTGGTGCTGAGCCCTAAATAGGGAGCTAACAGGGCAGAATGGGGGGTAACCAGGACGTGGCGGGCTGAGATGCCAGCCAATGCAAATACCCGGGGGCGAGAAGGCGCGTGGCGAGTTTGGGGGGTGGGGGTGGGGGCCGCGAGGCTGGTTCTGCTGCGTTCAATGTAAGCAGAGCAAAGACGCAGAACGGGGGGCAGGCGAGGCCTGCGGCGCGGACGCAGCAGCGAGGCCGCGATGGAACTTTGCGCCAGGGCACTGGGGAGCCCAAGGATGGGTCCCAACAGGGGAACCAACGGGGTGGGGGGGAGGTCCCCCCAAACCCGCCCCCCGCCCTCACTCCCCGCAGCAGGCCTCCCCCGGGGCCCGCGCCCCGCGTCTCCACGCCGCCTCACGCTCACCGCGGCTCCGGCCTCCGTCCCCCTCGCGCCCCCTCAGCAGCGCCGCTTCGCAGGCGCCGCCGCCGCCGCCGCCGCCATCTTCCGCCTGCCGCCGTGACGCTGCGCACGCGCCACAGTCTCAGGACCGTCGGGAAATGGAGTCCCGACGGCGGCCCGCCCCTACTGCGTGTGGAGGGGGAGGCCTCGGCTGAAGGGGCCTCCATTTCCGGACCTTGCGCGCTGTGCCTTCTGGGAAATGTGGTCTCCGGGCGGAGGCGCCGAGCGGAAGTGAGAGCAGAGCCTTCTGGGAAATGTAGTTCCCCGGCCGAGCGGCGGGGAGGGCAGCCTTCTGGAGTCCCTAGACGGCTAGCTGGCTTTATTTGAGTGGAGAGTGCATGGCACGTAGCTCCCGAGTCGTGATGGTGATTTGTTGCCCTACGGGGATCTTCGCTGCAGCCCTCAAGCACCTCCATCTTTTAATCCTGACTCTGTACACAGGCTGAGATTATTCTCAGCTGTCGGAAGTCTCAGTCTGCAGGTCCGTCCGATGCTGGGGGCGAGGGGGAAACGGTGGATTCAGGCGTCTCCCACACAGGCACCCCCGGAGTCACTCTGAACCCCCTTCTCTGCGGGGTTCAGGATGGGCTCTGAGCGGCAGGTGATGCACCCTCTCACGGAACAGACCCTCCCCCAGTTCTGCCCCCGAGGTTCCCAGCATCCGCCCCTCCCACCCCATCATGCACCCCGCAACCCCCTCCTCGGTCAACCCGGTGCTGCGTGTCCCCGCGATCCCGCAGGGGGCGCCCCGCTCCGAGCGCGCCGCCCCCGGGGAGGCGGGCGGGGAGCCCCGGGGCGGCGAGGGCGGGGGTGCCCCGGCTATAAAGCGCGGCCGCCTCCCGCGGAGCCGGGGAGGGACGGCGGGAGTCCGGAGGGACGCGCGCGCGCGGACGGACACACACGCAGCACGGACTCCCCTCCCGACGGGGCCCGACGGTCGGAAGTTCCAGCGTACCCCGGCCTCGAGAGCTGGGCGGGGGTGGGGATCACCGGGGCCGGGGTGGTGGGGGGCGCAGGCCCGGGGGATGCTGGGCTCGGTGGTGAAGATGGAGGCTCACGATCTGGCTGAGTGGAGCTACTACCCCGAGGCGGGCGAGGTGTGTGTCCTCGGGGATGGCGGGGCGGGCAGCGGGGGGGCCGCGGGGTGGGGGACCGGGACGCCGAGAAGGGGGACGGGAGGGGGGTTCGGGCATGGGGTGGGGCGGCCGGGCTGGGGAGCGCGGGCCGGGCAAAGCTGGTCCCCGGCGATGGCCTCCAGGGGGGAGGAAAATGTAGGCAAGGGTCGGTCACACCGTAAAGGTGAGCACCGGGCGGTGCTGGGTCCCTGGAATCCCAGAGATTCAAAAACAATCAAATAGTGTTTTTTGTTTTTTTAATGAACAGCCCGCATCAGAAGAGGAATCCGAGCTGGGGTGTGGGGTGGGGTAAGGGACCGAGCTTGGAGGATTTCAGGCAGGCAAGGGGGTTCGAAGTGGAGAGGGACTTCTAGAAGGGGGAGGGGATCATCTCCAAGCAGGGAAGTCTCGGTGGGAGGTCAGGGCCGCATGACAATGTGTAAGGTTAGGGGTCGTCCCCTTAGCCCGGTGTGGAAGTCAGAAAAGGAGTTGGGGTTAAGGGAATCAGCTGGAGATCTAAGATCGCGTCAGAAGTAGGGGTTAGTGGTGGTCAAGGGTAAGAGATGGAGGTTCTTAGCATGAAGTTTGCTTAGGGGAGGCTAAAATCAACAGGTTTGCCTAGACCAGCAACCCAGATGGCACTGGGGAACTAAAGCAAGGAGCAGAGGAGTTTGGTCCGCATCTGGGAGAGAAGTCAGACTTCACCCCCCCTCACACACCCCTGCTGGGACTCTTAGCAGGGACTCCCCTCAAGTCTAAGGCTAGAGGATTAATTTCAGGGGGTACACCTCCTCTTCCCACTTACCGCCCCCCTACCCCATCCAACAAGAGCCAGCCTTTGTTGGAGCGCCCTGTGTTCCAGAGCAGGGAGGTTTGGGGACACATCCTCCCCTAATTCCCTCACCCTAGCAGACAGAAAAGTGCCTCCTCAGAGCTAACTTCTTCCCTTGGTGCATGATCGATTGTTCTTTGCTTGCCTGCTGTAGGATCAGGACTGTGGTGCTGGGGAAATTGTTGGACGTGTTGATAGGGACACTTGTGTTCCTAATCTGGAAGAGAGATTGTGGGCTCCAAGGGGGGGGGATGGCCAGGAATGGCTGCAGAGAGATTTGATCTGATGTTTGAGAACTGGGGTCTTGGGTTTTTTGTTGGTTTGGGGCTCGTTGTTTGCTTTCTTTTGTTTTTCTTTTATTTTTGAGAAGGTCTCACAGTCTACCGTAGCCTGGCCTCCAACTTGTGATCCTCTACCACTACCGCTTCAGTGCTGGGATTACAGGCATGCACTAGGACTAGGGATATTGGCAAAGTGCCCCGGAGGGGCCATTCCGGAGTCTGGGGAGGTGTGAGGTGCATATGGGGTGGGGCCTGGCTGCTGGGGAAGGAGTTAGGAGTGGAGAGCTTAGAGAGAGTGTTGGAGGTGGGTTTCTGGAAGAGGAATGGGTTGTGAGAGATCTTGGGGGGAGATGGAGACCCCCCTCCCCAGAGATCTTAACTGGACCCTTGGTGAGCTCAAAGTCTGGGCTTAGGAGTTAAGGGGACCAACTAACAAATCAGTGTTTATCTGAAGCTTGCTTGAAATTAGGGCCTGGGCACTGTACCTGTGTTTCTTTTACTCAAGGCTAGTGCTCAACTACTTACACCACAGCTCTACTTCTGAGTTTTTTGATGCTTCATTGGAGATAAAGAGTCTCATGGATTTTTCTGCCTGGGCTGGCTTTGAACTGCAGTCCTCAGATCTTAGCCTCCTCAGTAGCTGGGATTACAGGCATGAGCCACCAGTGCCCAGCTATAAACTAGTGTTTCTGAAATACATCTTAAGAAGTAAATTGTGGGTAGGAAGAATCAGTGTGGGGGATACAGTCTGAATGGATCTGAGTTTAGGGGACAATTGTGTGTGTGTGTGTGTGTGTGTGAGAGAGAGAGAAAGAGAGAGAGAGAGCGCAGTACTAAGGAATTGAGCCCAGGGCCTGGGTGCTGTCATTTAGGTTTTTTTCCATTCAAGGCTGGCACTCTACCATGTGAACCGTAGCTCCACATTTGGCTTTTTGCTGATTAATTGGAGATAAGAGTCTGACAGACTTTCTTGCCCTAGCTAGGCTTTGAACCACGATCTTCAGATCTCAGCCTCCTGAGCAGCTGAGATTACAAGTGTGAGCCACTGGTGCCTGGCTTTGGAAACATTTTATTATACTCTGGTGTGTCAGAAGTTGCAGGTCATCTCCAATCAGATTTTAAGGGACATACTTTGTAAGAGTGCACCAAGGTGGGGGAAGGGCTGGAGATGGTTTTGGGGTTTCTGAAGGTCTCCCAGGGGAGCCTGCGCCTTCCCCATGCCTGCATCTCAGAGATTCAGAGAGAATTCACGTCTCCCCTACCATACACCCATACTGGGGTGAGGCTGACACCCAGAAGTCTGGTACGGGGACCTTGGGCAGTGTCCCTCCAAAACCCCAGGTTCTTACAGGTCAGCTGGTCCCCTTGCTCCTCTGTTTTTGCGATAAGAAAGCTAGAGGAGGCCTGCAAAGTGCTAGGGTCCCCCCCCACACCCCTCCTTGGGTCTGAGATGGGAAAATGGGCTCTGATTTCCCAGTGCCTCCCTGCACGCTCTGACACACCCTTCTGCAGAGACAATAAGGAAATGAAAGAGGAGAGAAAATCCTGGCTGCTGGATAAGGGTGCTGGTCCCCCCAGGGCTTCCCCCACGCCACACACACAGGCTCAGCTCCACCCCTTGGTGGGAGATCCGGTTCAGAACCCGGACACCAGGGGTTCATCCCAGCCATGGGGCGTGGGAAAGCCTAGGGTGGATTAGAGCAGATGGAATGCTTGAGGTCAGACTTCAAGGAGGACTTCCGGGTGGGTGGGGAACCAGAAAAAAAAAAGGCTTTGGGGTCCCTGAGAATCTACCTGAGTTGGACAAGGGGTGGGGTAGAGTCCAGAATGTGGCTCTCTCTCTCTCCCCAGAATCTATCATATTCTCCCTGTCTTTTCTTCCCTTATTCTCTCTCGGGGAGAGGCTGAAGCAGCCAAGCAGAGGAGAGTGTGTAAAGGGAGGATCGTGGTTCCAAGTTCATGGTGAGGCTCTGGGGAGGTGAGAAGTTAGAAGAAGGGAGATAAATAGCTGCAGAGAGGGGCTGGGAAGGTGGCTCAGTGGTAGAGTGCTCGCCTTGCATGCCTGAGGCCCTGGGTTCGATTCCTCAGCACCCCATAAGCAGAAAAAGCTGAAAGTGGTGCTGTGGCTCAAGTATTGGAGCACTAGCCTTGAGCTGCAGAACTCAGGGACAGCGCCCAGGCCCAGAGTTCAGGCCCCAAAACCGACATAAAAGATGCTCTACAGGACGGGGAGGGGAGAGGAGGGAAAGTTGGGAGAGGACTGTAAGAGAGAAGGAAACAGATCTGGGGTGGGGAAAAGAGCACAAGGGTACTGGGATAAGAGGGAGATGGACAGATGGCTGACGGAAGTTCAAAGAGGAAAGACAGACGCCCAGGGTGGAGCAGTAGAGCGGGGCTGGTTCTCACTCTGTCCTACAACTCACACCTGGAGTTTGGTGCCACCTGTCCTTGATTCTTTCCCCCTCCCCTCTCTCCCCCCCCCCCCGTGTGCCCATCCTAGGGCATGAACTCACCCTTTTTTTCTTTTTGCTCAAGGCTGGCACTCTACTCCTTGAGCCACAGCTCCACTTCCCGCTTTTGGCTAGTTCATTGGAGAGATGAGTCTCATCGACTTTCCTGCCTGGGCTGGCTTTGAATCATGATCCTCTGATCTCAGCCTCCTGAGTAGCTAGGATGACAGGTGTGAGCCACCAGCCACCAACATTTTCCTTGCTTTTTGCAGTCAGTCTCTTAGGCTATGCGAGGGTTAGCATTTCTTCTTTTTTTTTTTTAAATCGGTCATGGGGTTTGAACTCTGGGCCTGAGCACTGTCCCTCAGCTCTTCAGCTCAAGGCGAGCGCTCTACCACTTAAGCCACAGCGCCACTTCCAGTTTTCTGGTAGTTAATTGGATAAGAGTCTCATGGACTTTGCTGCCCTGGCTGGCTTTGAACTGTGATCCTCAGATCTCAGCCTCCTGAGTAGCTAGGATGACAGGTGTGAGCCACCAGCGCCTAGCATTTCTGTAGGTTCAGATCACTGCTTTTCTAGCCAAGTCTGGAGCCACACTGCCTGGATTCAGAATCCCAGTTCACCCCCTTTCTTGCTGTGTAACCTGCTATATACACACACAATGTTTCTGGGTTTCAGCTTTCCCAGCTTTCAAGTGACACTGTGGGAGCGGGCACCTATGGCCACACCTATAATCCCAACTACCCAATGGCCTGAGACCTGAGGATCTCTATTTGAAGCCAACCAGGGCAGAAAAGCTTGTAAAACTCTGTGTCCAATTAACCAGTACAAAACTGGACTGGAGGCATGTCTCAAGTGGGAGAGCACCAGCCTTGAGTTGAAAAAGCCAAAAGAGAGTGTGAGACCTTTAGCCCTGGGACCAACACACACATACACACACACACACAAGAAAGATGTAAAAATAGCCCCTCCCCCATACTGTAGTGTTTCTAGCTGTGAAGTGTTTGGAGCTGCACCTGGTACAGAGTTGGAAGTCTGTAAATTCATGTTAATGGACGCATAGAGAGCTAGCTACCTGCTGGTGGCTCATGCTTGTCATCCTAGCTACTCAGGAGGGTGAAGTCTGAGGACCACAGTTTAAAGGCAGCCCTGGTAGGAACATCCCGGTTTTTTTTTTTTTTTTTGTCGGTAGTGGGGCTTGAACTCTGGGCCTGGGCGCTGTCCCTCAGCTCTTCAGTCAAGGCAAGCGCTCTACCACTTCCGGTTTTCTGGTGGTTTATTGGAGATAGGAGTCTCACGGTCTCTCCTGCCCGGGCTGGCTTTGAACCGAGATCCTCAGATCTCAGCCTCCTGAGTAGCTAGGATTACAGGCGTGAGCCACCAGTGCCCAGCCCCAGAGGCTCTTATCTCCAATAAACCACCAGAAAATCAGAAGTGGCGCTGTGGCTCAAGTGGTAGAGTGCTAGCCTTGAGCTGAAGAGCTGAGGGGCAGCGCCCAGGCACCCAGTTCAAGTCCCATGATCGACCAAAAAAAAGAAAATTGCAAAGAGGGTGATTTTAAAAGCCATTGCAGTCTCCGTATGTTACCGAGCTAAGATGCCCCTGTTCCCCTTGTGAACTCTTTTCTTTTCCTTTTGGCAGCAATGGAATTTGAACTCGGGGCTTTATTTCATTTTATTTGTTACTTTTGCCTGAAGTAGGAGATTTTCCTGATCTCCACCTCCTAAGTAGCTGGAATTACAGGCATGAGGCACCATTCCCAGCGCTTCTGTGGGAACATTTGTGAAAATGGTCTGGTATTTACAATGATCTAGTGGTTTGCATTCAGTTATTTCTTTTTTCATTTATACCGATGTATAAATGATATTATAGCTTACAGTGACAGCTTACATTTGATACATAGTAGCTTACATTTCGTTCATAGTAGCCTGAAATGTGATTTGTGATCACATTTTTTAAACTTATAAAACAGTATTTTTTTTTTCTTTTTGGTGCTAGTTTGAACTTAGGTTCTTTTTTTTTTAGTCTGTGGTGGAGCTTGAACTCTGTCCCTCAGCTCTTCAGCTCAAAGCGAGTGCTCTACCGCTTGAGCCACAGCGCCACTTTAGGTTTTCAAGTAGTTTATTGGATATAAGAGTCTCACAGACTTTCCTGCCCAGGCTGGCTTTGAACCTCTATCCTCAGATCTCAGACTCCTGAGTAGCTAGGATTACAGGTGTGAGCCACCGGCGCCCGGCTAGAACTTAGATTCTTTTGCTGGCTAGGCAGGTACCGTACTGCTTGAATCATACCTCTAACCCAAAATAGTAACTTTAAATTGGGCACAATAGCTTGTGCCTTGGGTCCCTACTATTCAGGAGGGTGAGGCAGAAAAATCAATGGAGCAGTGTTCAAGCCAGCCTGGGCAACATAGTGAGGCTCTGTCTCAAACAAACAAACAAAAAACAATATTATAGCCTAGGAGAAAAATCCATATTAGGTTATTAGAGATGTTACTAATTACTCACTAAAGCTGAGAACTACTAATTCATTCGTTAAGCAAGTTTCCCAGCTGACCAATTTTGGTTGTTTAAGTAAAAAGATTGATTCTTTTTTTTATTTTTGCCAGTTCTGGGACTTGAACTCAGGGCCTGGGTACTGTCCCTGAGCTTCTACCACTTAAGCCACATTTCCAGCTTTTTCTGTGTATGTGGTACTGAGGAATTGAACCCAGGCTTCATGCATGCTAGGCAAACACTCTATCACTAAGCCACCTTCCCAGCCCCAAAAGGTTGATTCTTGAGCCCATGAAGTGATGTATGGTTTGTTATACCTGTAGTCCCAGCACTCAGGAGGTTGATGTAGCAGAATTATGAGTTCAAGGCCAACCTGAGCTACGTATTGGGACCCTGTCTCAAAATCTGTTTTATTTTCTTTCTTGCTTTTTTTTTTCTGTCTTAGGATCTGTTTATACTATTAGAAATTATTGAAGACCCCATTTTCTATGAGTTCAGGTTATATGTTCTTAAGTTGTTTTTGCTGGTCCTCAGGCTTGAACTCAGGGTCTGGGCACTGTCCTTGAGCTGTTTTATTTGCTCAAGATTAGCACTCTACCACTTGAGCCACAATGCCACTTCCAGCTTTTTCTGTTTATGTAGTGCTGAGGATTAGAACCCAGGGCCTCATGCATGCGAGGCAAGCATTCTACCACTGAGCCACCTTTCCAGCCCTAATGCATCTGTTTTTTAAACCAAGTTCTTATTGATTCAATTGTTTTTTGGTTGTGGGACTTGAACTCAGGGCCTGGGCACTGTCCTTGAGCTTCTTTGTGCTCAAGGCCAGCACTTTACCACTTGAGCCCCAGCGCCACTTCTGGTTTTTGAGTGGTTCATTGGAGATAGGAGTCTCTCGAGGCATTTTTCTGCCTGGGCTGGCTTTGAACCACAATCCTCAGATCTCAGCCTCCTGAGATGCTAGGAACACAGGTGTGAGCCATCAGCACCTGGCAATTCAATTTAATATAACAATTGTTTGTTAGCCTAACTAGCATGTTTTTATTCAAATAGCTATTTCTATTACAAATCTTTAGTGTGGAAGAGCTAAGCATAGTGACACATACCTATAATCTCAGCTACCCCAGAGATGCAAGTTGGAGGATCACAGTCCAATGCCAGCCCAGAGCACAACGGGGGACCTACCAGAAAAATAACTAATGCAAATAAATAAGCTAAGCATTGGGGTTTACACCTATAAATCCTAGCTACTTAGAAGGCAATCAGGACTATAGTTCTAAGCCAGCGTAGGCAGGAATGTCCATGAGACTCTGATTTATCAGAAAACAACCAGAAGTGGAACTGTGGCTCAAGTGGTAGAGCACCAGCCTTGAGTGAAAAAGGTCAGCGACAGGACCCAGGTCTTGATTCAAGCCTCAGGACCAGCACGCATGCGCACACACACAACCAGCTAGAGATAGTGGCTGAGGAGGAGCGTTGGATAGGAAATGGACAGATGGATAGAAGGACATTGGGCATGATCTTCCCAAAATGCACTAGAGACGCTCTAACCTTTGCCCATCTCTCTCTATCTTGCAGGTCTATTCTCCAGTAACGCCAGTGGCCACCATGGCCCCCCTCAATTCCTACATGACCTTGAGCCCTCTCAGCTCCCCCTACCCTTCAGGGGGGCTCCCCCCATCCCCACTGTCCTCAGGACCCCTGGGACCCCCAGCCCCTGCCGCGCCCCTTGGACCCACCTTCCCAGGCCTGGGTGCCAGTGGCGGTGGCACAGGGAATTCGGGGTACGGGGCCCCAGGGCCCGGGCTGGGGCCAGGGAAGGAGATGGCCAAGAGCTACAGGCGGCCGCTGGCCCACGCCAAGCCGCCCTATTCCTACATCTCCCTCATCACGATGGCAATCCAGCAAGCGCCAGGCAAGATGCTGACCCTGAGCCAAATCTACCAGTGGATCATGGACCTGTTCCCGTACTACAGGGAGAACCAGCAGCGCTGGCAGAACTCCATCCGCCACTCGCTGTCCTTCAACGACTGCTTCGTCAAGGTGGCGCGATCCCCGGACAAGCCGGGCAAGGGCTCCTACTGGGCCCTGCACCCCAGCTCCGGAAACATGTTTGAGAACGGTTGCTACCTGCGGCGCCAGAAACGCTTCAAGCTGGAGGAGAAGGCAAAGAAGGGGAGCAGCGGGGGGTCATCTATGACCAGGAACGGTACTGGACCAGCCGCCTTGTCTACCACCACCTCCATCACCACCACCACCTCCGCCATCACCGTTACCTCGCCACCGCAGCCCCCACCCCCCGAGCCCGAAGCTCAGGGTCGGGAGGAAGTGGGGGCCCCCCTGGACTGTGGCTCACCCCCCTCCTCCACCCCCTATTTCACTGGCTTGGAGATTCCAGGGGAGCTGAAGCTAGACACAGCATACAACTTCAACCACCCCTTCTCCATCAACAACCTGATGTCCGAACAGACCTCTGCACCCCCCAAACTAGACATGGGGTTTGGGGGCTATGGGGCAGAGAGTGGGGAGGCTGGAGTATATTATCAGGGCCTGTACCCCCGATCCCTGCTGAACGCCTCCTAGCGTGCTGGGGAGCGGAGGGGGGGGCTGTGGGGTTGGGCTGTGGCTCATAGTCTTGGGGTCCTGGTACCTCGTCTGTTGGGTAACATCTGTGCGGCAACCTGTCAGTCACTAGGGACTTCTCAGTGGGCACTTGGGGTACTGCGAAGATGGCTGTGTTGATCGGTATTTGTGGTTGATCCATTAGTAACTATAGCTACTGCCTGGGCCGCCATCTTGGTGGTCCCTTTGGGGCCTGTAATGAACCTTTTTTTTGTTTTTTGCTTTTTTTTTTCTCCAGTTGTTGGGTTTTGTGTTGTTTTGTGCTGGTCCTGGAGCTTGAACTCAGGACCTGGGTGCTGTCCTTGAACTTTTTTTTTTTTCTCAAGGATAGCGCTCTACCACTTGAGCCATAGCTCCATTTCCAGCTTTTTGCTGGCTCATTGGAGATGAGAGTGTCACAGACTTTTCTGCCCAGGTTGGCTTTGAATCTCGAGCCTCAGAGCTCAGCCTCCTGAGTAGCTGGGATTCTAGGTGTGAGCCACCAGCAGATTGACCCTTTGACTAACAGTGACACCATTTCTATGACATCAAGACCCAGTGGGTACTGCGGTCAGTTCTTTCTTGGGGGAGACTTCTTGGCCCAGTTGATGTTCATTCAGCCCCCCTCCTGCATCTCTTTGCCCTGCTGGGCTCTCGGAGAGTCATGATGTGGGAACATTATACTGCCATTTACCACAGCTCTGGGTTGCCCATGTGGTCTGTCTCTTTGGTGGGGAAATGGAGACCCCTTGTTTTTCTCTGCTGTCCACCCCCCCATCGTGGTGCACTCAGTCAGTCAACTAGCCTTTTGGTCAATTTCCAGGCCACAGACTTCTGCCTTCCTAGTGCTGGGATTACAGGCAGGTACCACCATGCCCACCCCTCTCCCTGTCTCTTCATGATGTCACTTCTTTCTGTGTCACTCTGTCCCTGGTACAGGACAAGCCAGGAAGGCTGGTCAGGGGGGGTTGGGTGTTCCTATGGAAGTCTAGTACATTCTGGGGAGGGGGAGACTGGATGTGTTAGACAATTAAAGGTACCATTGCCACGCATCACCCTATGTCTCTTTTCCTTGAAATCTGGGATTTGGGTTCTCCTGTCCCTGCTCCTTCCTGTTCCCAGGGGCTGGGCTGCCTCTGGGGGGGAAGGGACGGGGGAGGCAGGGAGCTGACCTTTGGCTCTTTGCTGTCCCTGACCCCAGGACAGTTTGTTCATAGTTAGATAGCAGCCCCCGCAGTGGTGGGGCCAGGGCAGCAAGGGGGGCGGGGGTGGCCAGACAGTGACCAAGGCCACCTCCCTCCCCCACCCCCACCCCCAGGCACACACCTAGCTATGAGGCTCAGGGCTCAGCCAAGGAGGCAGACTGGAGGACTGAACAGGTGTGTGTGTGTGTGTGTGTGTGTGTGTGTGTGTGTGTAGGCAGACTGGAGGACTGAACAGGTGTGTGTGTGTGTGTGTGTGTGTGTGTGTGTGTGTGTGTGTGTTGACAGTGGTGTACGGGATGTATACCTCTGGAGCTCAGACTGGGCCTCTTATAAAAGAAAACATGGAAATCAGTTCTGGTTTGTGCCTGTCATCCTAACTACTCAGGAGGCTGTGATCTGAGGATCACTGTTCGAAGCCAGCCCGGGCAGACAAATCTAAGAGATTCTTTGCACCAATGAACCCAGCAAAAAAAGCCAGACCTGGAGTCGGGCACCAGTGGCTCATGCCTATCATCCTAGCTACTCAGGAGGCTGAAATATGAGGATCGAGGTTCAAAGCCAGCCTAGGCAGGAAACCGTGAGACTCTGATTTCCAATAAATCACCAGAAATCCGGAAGTGGTGCTGTGGCTCAAGTGGGAGAGCACTAGCCTTGAGCTGAAGAGCTCAGGAATAGTGCCCAGGCCCAGAGTTCAATCCCCGTGACTGAATAAAAGAAGCCAGACATGGAGACATGGCTCAGGTGGTAGCATACCAGCTTCAAGGAAAAACCACTCATTCAGTCAGCTAGCCTTCTGGTCAATTTCAAGGCCACAGACTTCTGCCATCCTAGTGCTGGGATTACAGGCAGGTACCACCATGCCCAGCCCTCTCCTTGTCACTTCTGTGTCACTCTGTCGCTGGTCCTCCATGCTTTTATCTCTGTTCTCTCTCCTCTGGCTTCCTTCCCTCTCTTAGCTTCCCTGTGTTTCCCCCTGTACCTGCTACCTCCCTGACCAGGCCCTTTATTTCTGTCCTAATGCCCGCCAAGAAGGCCGGGCTGGAGCTGCGTGTCACCCCTGCCGCCGTTCCTCCCCCCCCCCCCCCAGCCATGCTGGCTGTCCCAGGCAGGCCGGGGAATTCCTCCTAGTTCCTGGAAAAAACAACTGGTTCTAGAGAAAGGCGCTCAGTCTCCCCGGCACCCGCCCCCTCCCTGGGCCTGGGGGTCTCTCCCCGAGTTGGAGGCCGGAGGCAGGAAGCCCTGCGGTTTCTGGCTTCTCCCAGGCGGCCTCCGGATCTGGCCCCCGCCCCCCGGCCAACAGCCCAAATATTATTCCGCAGGAGGAGCCGGTGGTGGCAGGAGGAGGCCCTGGCTGAAAGAGGCTTTCAGGGCGGCCAGGCCTGGGGCTTCCTGTCCCCAGGCTCAGGGCCTCAGGCCGCCCCAGTGGGGACCTCAGGTGGCCGGAGGGGCGGGGTGTGGTTGGAAGGTCCTTAGGGGAGGGTGTGGCCATCCGTGAGGGTGTCTGGTGGCCACCAAGTCGCCTGGCGTGGGCAGGTGTGACCCCACCCCAGGGACAGCCGGCTGGTGTCCAGTGTGGAAAAGTACCACGGTCAGACGTGGGACGCATGGACAGACATGAGGACGCCAGGGATCTGGGTTGGAGGGGTAGCTGTGGGGACACAGGGAGGCTCAGGCTGTGGGCCTGAGAAGGGGATGGAAGGTGGGGAAACTGAGGCGGGGGTGGGTCCCAGCTATAACCACAGGACTGACTGCATGGCAAACAGTGACAATGGCAGCATAAAATATTAAACTACCAACTGTGGTAGTGCACACCTGTAATCCCAGCAATCGAAAGCTGATGGCCAGCCTGACTTATTTAGCCAGACCCTGTCTTAAGAATCCAAGCATAGGGCTGGGAGTGTGGTTTAGTGATAGAATGCTTGCCTAGCATGCATGAAGCCCTGGGTTCGATTCCTCAGTACCACACACACACACACACACACACACACACACACACACACACAGCCAGAAGTGGTTCAAGTTGTAAGAGTGCTAGCCTTGAGCAAAAGAAGCTCAGGGACAGTGCCCAGCCCCTGAATTCAAGCCCCAGGATTGGGGGGAAAAAATCCAAGCATAGTTAGGTGCCGGTGGCTCACACATGTCATCTTAGCTACTCAGAGGCTGAGATCTGAGGATCTCAGTTCAAAGCCAGCCCAGGCAATAAAGTCCATGAGATTCTTATCTCCAATGAACCACCAGAAAACCGGAAGTGGCGCTGTGGCTCAAGTGGTAGACTCACCTTGAGCTGAAGAGCTGAGGGACCAGAGATCAAGCCTTACAACTGACAAAAATAAATAAATAAGGGGGCTGGGAAGTTGGCTCAGTAGCAGTTTGCCTCACATGCATGAGGCCCTGGGTTCAATTCCTCAGCACCACATAAACAGAAAAAAGCCGGAAGTGGCGCTGTGGCTCAAGTGGTAGAGCGCTAGCCTTGAGCTGAAGAGCTGAGGGACAGCGCCCAGGCCCAGAGTTCAGGCCCCACAACTGGACCCTCCCCCCAAAAGTAAATAAATAAATAAAATAAATAAAAACCAAGCATACACATACAGACATGGAAACAAGGGCTAGGGGAATGGCTCAAGTGGTAAGGCGTTTGACTGGCAAGAACAAAGCTAAAACATATATATATTTCTATTAAAATGTTTAAAAAGTTTACTGTGAGGCATGAACGGTGCCAGTGGCTCACGCCTGTCATCCTAGCTACTCAGGAGGCTGAGATCTGAGGATCGGGTTCAAAGCCAGCTCAGACAGGAAAGTCCAGGAGATTCTTATCTCCAATGAACCAGGAAGAAGTGGCACTATGGTTCAGGTGGTAGAGCGGTAGCCTTGAGGAGCTGAGGGACAGCGCACAGGTCCAGAGTTCAAGCCCCATGACCGACAAAAACAAAAAAGCTATCCAATGAACCACCAGGAAACCAGAAGTGGTGCTATGGCTTGAAGTGGTAGCGATAGCCTTGAGCCCTGAGTTCAAACCCCACAACTGACAAAAGTAACTAAAATAACTGAAGCCCACACACGAGAGGTGACATGACTTGGCCCAGGTCCTACAGATGAGGAACGGGTGCTAAGTGTCACCCAGACATTTGGCTCATGTTCTTGAAGTCCCACACTTCCTGCCACAGCTGTTCTGCCTGGATCACACGTGTCTATATGACACACTCAGCACAAGATTGAGGGCACTTGTACTTGGTGGGCACCGGTGGCTCAGGCCCGTCATCCTAGCTCCTCGGGAGGCTGAGATCTGAGGATCGAGGTTCAAAGCCAGCCCCAGCAGGAAAGTCTGTGAGCCTCTTATCTCCAATGAACCACCAGAAAACCGGAAGTGGCGCTGTGGCTCAAGTGGTAGAGCGCTTGCTTTGAGCTGAAGAGCTGAGGGACAGCACCCAGGCCCAGAGTTCAAGCCCCATAACTGAAAAGAAAAAAAAATGAGGGTACTTTTGGCCATCAGGGCCTGCCATGGGGTTCACGTGGGGGTCGCTGGGGATGTGTCTGTCCATCATTGTCTTCTGTGCCTGTCCCTCAGCCCAGACATTGTGGGTCTGCCTATATCTGTCAGCGTGTGTCACCGTGTCTGTCCCTGTGTGTGTGTCACCATCCACCCAGGTGTCACGCTGTGGCTTACTCACCATCCCGGCCACAGGTGGGCGGGCCGGGCCCGCTGGTGCCAGCATGGAGACCCAGCCCTTCCCAACCCCGGCTGCCATAGGCCAGGCCTGGCGCCTGTTTGCCATGCCTGCC